CAAGGCAAGCATCGACACAAGAAGAGACAAGACATGACAAGACTCCGCAATGCCATGGTGTCAAAAACAACAGACAGCAGAACAACACTCTAATGCCCGTGCTTGGAAGATTCAAGTATCGTGGTCATTTACGAACCATGTAACCACATTGTTTGTATGGTCTTTTCTATTCGCTAGGGTCTTATTCAATTCTTTGTTTATTTGAATATACAAAACTCTATAATCCATAGCATAATATAATAGATCCTTGATCATACTAGATATATCTAGATATTATGATTATATAATTATATACTATGGATTATAGATCAAGGATGAATCAAGGATGATCTTGGGGGCATTCTGGTGCCAGGTTTGGTCTGGAGCTTCGGATGCGTCACGGACGGCGAGGGCCGAGGTGTTTTGGATCCATTTTTCCGGCGACTATCCTCAGGAGCCAGGTTGAAAAAACCATGGTTTACCATCGTCCAATGATGTCCAATGTCTTTCTAAGTTAGCGCACTCTGAGCACGAGATCTTTTTTTGGTGGTGCGAACAACAATTGTGACATATTGTGACATCATTCCTGCAGGACAGAGTTTAGGCTTGAAGGAGGACTTCCAACTTCTTGGAGATGAGCCAGACCCTAACAAACCTTGTTTGACGTCTATCGATGCTTGCGCAACACTGCATCAAGTTTCAAGTACACAAGAGTCCTTGCAACGAATTCCAGACCTGACTGAAAGTGAATGGCGGGAACGAGTCTCCCAAATGGTAAGGAACAACAACAACAACAACAACGTGTTCTTCACGAAACCTTCTAAGACTGCAACATGAATCGACCACGTTTCCCTTGGATGATCCGAGATGATCCGAGGCCCTTGTCACGCACGCCTCGTGGGCCACCGGCTCAGACGTGGATGCTGAATCGACCGCTGTGAAAGCTTGATGATTCTGCGACATCTGCGACGTGGGTCATATCTTTTCACTTTTCTTCACTTTTCATATCTCCTCATCCTAGGTCCAGTGGGTTTCCCGATGAAGGGAGTGTCTTTGACTACTTTCCTGGTGCTGGCAACAAGCCCGTTACCCAGCTTGATGACCACTCACACTGTACTTCGGCAATATTGAAAACTTATGCAACCTCAACTTCTGGCATACTGGGGGGAGAAAACCTCCAGGTGGGAACTGTGGAGCAAAAAGATCGGATCCTTTGAGATTCCGAAGGATGCAGAGGTGCGTGCTTTCCAATAGCTCGCTATCCAATGATGGAACTTCAAAAGGCTGATTTTGACAGTTTTTGTAGCATTTTGCGACAACCTACTGGGTGCAACTAACTTTTGCCCCAGGCTCACTCCCTGATCATACCGACATCGGACACTGTAAGGCTGCTGTCCCAAGCTCTTGCACTTCACATGCAAACTGGTTTCACTAAACACAAAACGAGTATTGATGTGTTTGTGGGGTGGACACAAGTAAATCCTTCTAGTCCTGTGCAGGAACGCTTTCTTGTTACAGATGTTGGTGCGAGCAGAGTTCCACGTGCTCTTTGCAGGCCTGTTTCCAGTTGAAACTCAGACCAGTACAGCAAATAAGCATCCTCTCAAGATCCATGGCAGGACCTACAGGGACTGGCAAGACTGTTGTCGTCCAACAGCAGCTCTTAAAGGGCTTCGACAAAGAGTTTCTACCTCAGATGGTGCAAGCAACAGGTCTCAATTATCGCCTCCAAGGCAAATTTGCACTTGCCAGCATTGCCAGATTTTGAAATCTTGTCAACCACATTCAACCACACACCGGAGCTTGATCCAAGGAAATACAGCGCTTTTGCATTTGCCTTCAGCGCCCAGTCAAGTGCAAATCAGACGCAGGAGATGATACCATTATGTTTCCATGACGAATGGCGTGTTTCAGCGCTTTCGAGAGTATTCTGGATCTTTCAGCTCAAATTTTCATTTGGTCGTATTGTCAAATTGGTCTCTCCCAGATTCTTCCAGGATGTTATTGATGGAAAGCTGGACAAGCGGCCTGGCTCCCAGTTTCTCAGGTTGCGGAAGACCTCTGGCGAAGGGCAAACAACTCGTGCTTGTTGGGTCCGGAGGTCCGGTCCGGTTCGGTTGGTTTTGTAGTTTTGTCAATGGAAACCTGGACTCCAAGGAAGAAAGGTTGTTACGGCCCACCTTTTGGAAAGCGTTGCCTCATCTTCGTTGACGACCTCAACATGCCAGCCAAGGATACAGCTGGACCATTCAGTGCACACATGTGACTACAATGATCTGTGATCATTCTATATACAATCTCGTTTTCTGACATTCGCTCTTCATTCCGCAGTATCGATGCCGTTTGGACAAGTAAGACTTTTCGTATCAATAAAGCATTCCGACTAGAAGGGTGAGGCATAAGCACGGATTTGTCCTTGAATGCAATCTTTTAAGCGGGGATCTGCCCTTTTCTGTTTGGGAGCAGGAGAAGTACGGTGCCCAACCGCCCATTGAGCTCTTGAGGCTGAGTTGTGCTTTTCATTTCTCTTTGGAAACTGTCATAAACCACTAGAAATCCAGTCCAGGCACTTGTTGAAGCAAAATCCTCCAGCCAAGATCCAGACAAACAATTGCAGGCAATGGATGGACACAAGTGGCTGGTACGAGCGGAAGACCTGCGAGTCAATCCCTGAGCAAGAGGCATGAAGTATTCAGTACAGCCTTGGAGTGCATTCAGGACTCATACCGGAGTTCTTGACATTTCTTGACTCTCTAATAGACTCTATTCCGTTTGAATTGAACTTTTTTGTTTTTTTCCAACAACCCGTGTCGGCAAAGCCAGATCCAGTGAATCTGCTCAAAGGTTCCGTCAGTTGGTGGATCTCAACTTCATTGCAGCCATGACTCCAAGCGCTGGTCGGCCACAAATCACTGGCCGCTACCAGAGGCCAAGCGAGGAAAGTGTTCAAAAAGTCACTTCAGTTACTTCCACAGTTTTGGAGAATTCCGTGTCTACTATCTACTGAGTCTACTGACCACTGGTTAAACACCCTCCAGGCACTACAACTACTTCTACCTGCTCGCATTTCAGGGTGAAAGCCTTCAACGCATTTTTCAAACCATTATGTCACAAGCTCAATGAAGGTCTATGTAGCCTGCATTTCCAGCCTGGATTCCAGTTTAGATCTAGAGTTGGTTAGAGTCGGTCTATGAGCTGCTTCAAACTCCTTCACTTTCAAGGCAGTGGTTTCTGGGCAAGTTCCCTGGTCAGGCCAGCTTTTCTGGCAGGGACACATGACATGAAATGACCGATGATGGGTTTGTACAAGTACGGTTTCATCAATCCCAATGTAAAGTGTGCAACACTTCCTTCAAATCATTTTTTCTGTTTTTGGAAGAAAGGTGTGCATGAAACATCAGGAAGCTTGAACAAGTGTGTCCAACTCCAAACATTTGAAACATTTCTTGTGTCCTGCAGGTCAGTGGTTTGAGTGGGACCGTGGTTCGAGCGACAGTTCTGACTCCCAGTTTGTACTTAAAGGGACTTTGAGGATTCAAGACTGGACCATTGAAGTTTTACCTTCTGCAAGGTCGATGTGTACAACACAATTTCGGAGAACATGCTGCCAACTCCAGCAAAGTGGGTATCTCAGTCATCAGTGGACTTTGTACACGTCTTACTATATCTTACTTGTATTTACTTGTATAATCCAGCTTCCAACTAAGAACCTCACAGATGCCTCATTTGTCTGGCGCGACGCAACACGTACAGTACTAACTGTGGTTGTGATTCAAGACTAGCAGGGTGACGGCGGCCCACAAGGACTATCACCATACCAGAATAAGTTGTCCTGGTATGTTCTGGTATTAGACACTGTTATTTTCTTTCCTGTCCTGAATCCAGGTCACACTACACATTCAACTTGCGGGACCTCGCCAAGGCCAGTTGGCTGGTTTTGTTGCAAAAACAAACTCATATCGTAAATGCATATATTCATTATATTCTGACCGTACGAAGGAGTATATATGCACAGTGTGTGTATAGATATACGTATTATTAACATGGTGTTGTCGATGTTGTAACTTTGAGCGCGAAACTGCTTAGGTCAATCAAGGCATCTGCCTTTGCAGCAAAGAATCGCTTCCCACTGCGGATGACTTCATCAAGTGCTGGGCCCATGAATGTCAACGAGTCTTCCAGGCCCCTCCAAAGATGTTTTGGATCTCCAAAGATCTGATCTGGTTGAGTGGTGAAAAAAGTGGTTTAGCCTAGCCACAAAGTATGCAATAAACTGAGATTTTCACACCTGCAACCAGCATGTTTGTTGTTTCACCTGGAAAGCAGGATCGTCTGGCAAGTGAAGAAGATCATGAATCTTGGCAGGAATTGAGAGAGTCTCAAGCCTCTTCACATTATTGTCTTCGTCCCTGTCCTAAGATTTCTAATGCTTATGAACATTGTCTTTGGCCTCAAGTTTTCTATCAAAGCAGGATGCCTCCCTCCCTGCCAAACTATTTGACCATGGTCACATTCGTTTTTAAAGGGGGGTATCAAACAACTGAGGCCTGGTTCGTACACCTTCTGCAAGAGAAGATGCAGGTACCGTGGAGGGTGTTTGCAAATTCTTTGGCATTCATGCCAGTAGTGCATTTCCGTTGATCAGTGCATGGACACGGCGCCGCACATTATCGAGGAACACTTCAAAAAGCAATGGAAAGCCATCATCAAGCAGGACTGCTTCGCTACTTGGAAGTGGCGAAATCTGACGGCCGCTATCCTCCAGATAATTTATCATTTGGGTTGAAAGATGACAGAAGTAAGATACCTAATCGACCCAGGGAGGAGTTGAACCTCCACATTCCGTGCTTGTCAAGCATGTGCTGCCCAGAGGGCTGACAGCTTGCAAAGACGCCGCCTTATCCAGATGGCAACTGGGTCCTTGTGACGGGAAAATTAAGCTTGTTGGTGACGTAACTGGAGGTGAAGCTCGGTGTCTAGTTAAGACCATCTACTTCAAGGCCTCAAGGAATTGCCATTCTACCGCAGGAGCCAATTATTTTTGTTGATTTTGCAGACAGCCTGGGCCTTAAGGCTTCCCTTAAATGTTCATGCCGCTGCCCGCCACATTTATTCGCTGGCACCTTCTTGTGTCCAAGGCAAAGCTTTGTACTATCAGCAAGTTACAAATCTGGAGCAGCTTGATGATGTGCTGCATTCCTGGCATGTGTTGAGATCCAGCTTGTTGAAGCACGTGTCTAAGTACACAAATTTATGTCAACCCGTCATGTCGTGGGGCAAGATCGAACTTCTTAGCGGTTCCAACGCCTAGAAAAGGTGTTCGGACACGATACAGGAAGAACCGGCTGATGGATTACAACTCAATGGCAAAGCGGGGAATGGAATTGGTGCTTTTTACGTCTGAACCCCAGTGATGTAAACTCTAGACTCTATATGCGTAGCATACAAACTAAATATATAAATATATAAACTATTATAAACTCATTTTTGAGTTCAGAGGGGTTTAGATGTTCGATGCAATGGGCGATGGGAGAGTCACATCTTAGTCACTCCAAGGTCAGCAGCGCAGCATATTTGCCGCATGGCTGGGCACTTACAGCTGCATACCGACACCGATACCAAGAAGAGCGGAGCCAGCGAAGTAATTGGGATTGTTCGAGTGTTCAGCTGCTCACGCTGACATAAGCCACACATAAAGCCACACATATATATATATACACACATACATACATATCATATATATTAAATTATATATATGAATCACATTGCTCCATTATCCTGACAGTCCTTCTATGTTGCTCTGGCTTTCCCAAGATCTCCCAAGGTTCGTGTCCTGAAAACGCCCATGGGCAATGCCTTGCTGGTGGGTGTTGGAGGTAGTGGCCGCAAGAGTCTGGCAACTTTGGCTACCTTTGTGGCGGAGTACGACCACTTCAGCATTGAAATCACCAAAAACTACCAAGTCACCGACTGGCATGATGATGTTGCCACCTCAGGAAAATCAGGAAAAAGTGCAGTGACCGCCTGCAATCACATGGTGTCTTGTGCCAAACATCATGAAACGTCACAGTTGACTCAGTTGACAAGAAACCGCAGAAAGCCCTGAGATCAAGCGCCTCCTGATGTCTGTTGGTGGCGGTAGTCAAGAGGCACCAGTGCAGGCACGATCCGTTTGGGGAAACTCTCACACCAGTCCCAGGCTATGTCAGAAATTGACAGGTCCTGTGGAGACAGGTGCTTAAAGCCGGTGCTTAATGACAATGAGAAACTGAGAAACACCCGATGAGATTCATAAAAAGCCAAAGCATCCAGTGGGTGGATTTGCGATGCCAGACAACATTCCTCCTCGCTGACACCCAGATCCCCAAGGACCTCCAACGTTCACATTTCTGCGGCTTGGGATCCAAAACATTGTTCTCCAAATAGTGTTAAAAGAGGTGTGCAAAGCCGGTCTTGGGATCGGACACTTGCTGAATAGAGTGAGTAGACGATGCACGCAATTCGACATGGGATTTTTTGCAAAGGATGTCAGCTTCCTCAAAAATCTGGTTGTGAGAGGAGTCATTTCTGGAAGACACCTCCAGCTTGCTGAACAATGGTGAAGTCCCGTCCCAAGGGCCCAAGGGTTGAACAAGCTCTTGATATTATTTGATATTATGCTAGCAGCTGAAAACCAGTTTTTTGGGTCAAAAATTGAACAGTTCGATGAAACATGATGCAGCAGATGATCAAAGAACTTACCGCCGTTTGGCATTTGTGACTCAAGCCGTTCAGGATCATAGGAGGCGCAGTCAGAACAGGTGTGTACCTGTGGGAAAGCCGTGGAAGCATCCGAATCAGCTGGATCTCTTGCTGTTCAACTGTCGCCGCCATGTCGATGGCCAGTGGATCCGGTGGTGGGCTGATTCAGTCCAACCCTGCAAAGCTGAAGAAGAGTCACATTGTTTGTACAATGAGACCGCTGCGCCTCTGCATTGAAGAAAACACTGGAGATATCTCCAGATGTATCAAAGAAGTTGAGGAGTTTGAGCGAACTTGCGACAAGCGACTTGAGTACGTTCATGACAGAGATGGCCTTGATGACACTCGTAGTGGTCTCTTCAGCGGACAGAAGCAGCGTGCAAACTGAGCTTGCAAAAAAGAGCCGGAAGCTGTGCATGTTTGAATCATTTCTCGGATCAATGGTAGGCGGCACGTTCGTGTGTTGTTGAATGCCCATCTCTGTCTCTAACGCACGATACAACTTGGTAACCATCGATTCTGTGTGCCTAAGGTTCCCAATCTCTTCAATGCGGAAGACAAGACTGCGATCATGGAGGCATGGGAATTTACGTTGGTATGTTGGTAGAATACAACTGAGAAAGAATGAACACCTGTTGAATCCATGTTATCGTGGACCTGCAGTAGACACTGTAGACATCTGTAGATAACTAGCCGCGACTTGAAGACGGTTGAATCCATTTCCAGGGCTGTGGTGCTGCAGCCCAAGCAGCAGGCTGCAATGGTCAAGCTGAGGCCAGCAGACTCCAAGAGGTGTAACACAGGATCATTTGGACAACATATTTATAAACATTCAACCAGTTTTTTGATGTAAATTGTGCGATCCTTACTTTGCCTGTTTACTCTTTGGTTATTTGGTATCGTTCTTGGCAGCTCGACCGTATCAAGACATGCTTGTTTCTTACTTCACAGTGCTCGATCCTTCTGCAGACTCTGGCCTTTTTCACTGAGCAGTGCCGTATCAGCCTCAATACAAGCACAGGCAGATCGACAAACAAGGGGTTCTACTTTTAACAGTTGGCAGATGTTGGCAGAATTGGTTGCATTGCAATGTCAACTTTGAAGAGACTGCAAGAGCTTTGAGGCAAGAACCTTCACCTGATCCTGGCGCTTTCTCCCATTGGAGAGGTCAGGATGGAAGACGTCACGAGTCAAGAGTCGTCTAGCCGCCTTGCTATGCCTTGCTATGCCTTGCCATGCCTTGCCTAGTTGTTTTCTTAGTTGTCCAAGTTGTGGGTGACTTTGCACCTCCATGCCCAAAGGCCTTCCGACGACGAGTGCGGATGTTTCCTGCTATCGTCAACTGCTGCACCATCGTATGGGGCTCAAAAAAAGCTAGTTTGACGAAGTACAGGCGGTGCAACCTGGAAGAGATGGTAAGTGGCTGACAAGTGGCTGACAAGTGGCTGACAAGTGGCTTATAGCAACTAAGTCAGTGGAGATGATCTGAGGACTGGTTCATGGAGTGGCCCCAGGAAGCTTTGCGCAGTGTGGCGCAACACTTCTTGCAGAAGGCCGGAACACCTGGAACACCCCAGCTGGAATGGGCGCGGATGAGTTGCTTCCCATTTCTCAGGTGGACCTCAAAGATGGAGTCTTTGCAGGAGTTGTGGAGCCGCGGCCCCAGCTGGCAGGTTTTCGCAAAAGTTCTGAAGCAACGCAGGAAAATTAGGAAAGAACCTTTCACATCCTTTCACAACTTTTCTATAGACTATAAATGTTATTTTGCAATATTTTGCTAACATTGCTGCGGGCAGTGATGAAACCACCAAGGATTTGCGTCCAGATGCAGGAGTCGGTATTTGTACTCGCGAATCGATTCCGCTCAGAGGTGTGATGGGCAACATGGGGGTGGAGTGATGGTGGAGTGTACTGTGAATAGTTTGTGAAAGTGTTTGTATATACGTATATATTTGCTCACCTTCTATGTTCTGGTCCCAGGTCTTCCTAAACCCTTGTATCGCAGCAATTCGCAGCAGGAACTGCACATACCAACTTTTGGATATGTGGTATGCTGTGGTATGTATGCATTGGTCACTGCGTGCATTTCTTCGCTGCACACATTTCACGAGGTCCAGCGCCACTACTATGCAGCGAGCTCAGGACGTCAAAAGTTTGCAACATGTTGACTCAGGAACATGAAATGCACGACGCAGAGACTGTCATCGGCAGCAAAGATGGACATACGTGGAGCAATCCAAGAGTCCAAATTTGTTCTAAACCTGCATATACCTGCTAAGCCAAGCCTTTTCTGCTTCAATCCGAAGGTCACTCCTACGTCATACTTGGAGCTGATCAACTCTTTCAAGGACGTTCTGCCCTTGGTATCCTGAATGGCTTTCTGCCATAAATCCAGTGGCCTTGATGCGTTCGGCATATCGAGCAGACCGGAAATGCGGAACTACAGAATCCAAAGTAGCATGCCAAAGACCAACGAAGCACAGTTAAACATGCTTCATCAATATTCATAAAATTTCATAAATATCTATTCAAATAGATATTGATCAATATTAATAACATGCACCTTCTGACATGTCTTGCGTCTGAGGTGTTGGCCTCAAAGCGCGACGAGGTCTCAAGTGCAAAGCGACGGTACGATGATGGCTTGGAGAAGGTGATCTCCACCGAGGAGCAGGTCAGATGGAAACTTCTCGAGAGAGAGAACATGACAAGATCAAGAGATATCCAGAGAATCTGTTCGAAAGAATCTGCCAAAAAGCTGACAAATTATCAAACTGAAAAAGGTCCAAAAAGATCCAAAAAGCAACGGGGTTTTCCTTGGCCCAGACCAGCCAGAGACTTTCCTGAATGTGTGGTCACTGGATGGGCCAGGTGAAGACTATGTCCATACAGCTTGAAGAGCTCCGACCGGCTGGGCACCAACTCGTTTTGCTTCCATTGTCTATGCAACTGCAGGGCTTCACTTTTGATTGTGCAACTGCTCAATGCAACTGCTCAATTGACCTCGTGCGGCTGCGTGCTGAGATTCTAAAAGTAATATTCCATGTTTTCGATTCTTCGAGGTTCTGAAGCAGACTTCGGCAGAGACTGCCGAGCTGATGACTGTAATTGAGCACAAGCAGGAAGAGGTGCTTCAACCGACTGCTACGGAATTGATGTCAATTTCAAAGCTGGGAACATTAGAACATGTCGCGAATCTTTAAACATGACTGAACGATGCAGTTGGAAAATGCTGGAAGATGCTACCCCCGGAACTCACGTCCTCTGAGCCGTTTCCTACTGGCAGGCTTCAGCGACGCAGGCGAGCGTGGCCAAGGAGGAAGAAGCAGCTTCGCAACAGGCGCAGGAATTGAGGGTGCAATCAGCCAAGAGTTTTCAAGAGTTTTCAAAAGATCTCAAACTGGTTTCATTCCCTCAGCCATTCTTTACATAATTATCTTTATATGCTTTCACATCTTTTTTGTCCACCAACAGATTAATTAGTTGGTGAACCAATGCATTCAACTTCTCTTCATTGGCTGAAATGCATCAGCTGCACAGCTGGGAAAGGCAGAAGCTTCTCGCACCATGAAGGAAGAATGCCAAGCTGACCTGGACAAGGCACCATAGAGGATGTCGTTGTTAAAAAAATCATAAAATAGCCTAGCTATGTCTGGTTAGCTAAGTTTGCTAGAAACTATAAACTGACAAGTTAGCTAATGCACCTGCAGCTCTTGGAGATGTACTGAGAGGGGTTGGCGTAGTCCGTAGAACGCCCCGACCAAGCTTATTTTTGTTCTGCAACTCTTGCAAATCCAAGATATGCACAGGCTTTGCCTGCTTTGAATGCAGCTCTTGATGCTTTGAAGAGCTTGAAGAAAGGCTCGTTACCTGGAGGGAATGAATACTGCTCTTGTACTGCTTTTTGTAAACCCACGTAAACCCGCGATGAAGACAACATTTATTTGGACTGGACATGTACGATTGACAAGATACGGTAGAGCCTCTTGAAATTGCACCAGGCACCATACCACGTGGTCCTTCGATCCATTTTGAAAGCCCGTGCCAGCTGCAAAAAATAGGAACAAATTATATATATACATACACATATATATATATAAAGATCCCACTTACACATGAGTCTTGGAGTTTTGCAACTTGCAATCTGGAGTGGAGATGGAGAGCAAACTTTGCAGATTTCATGCAATCGAGCGGCAATCAGCATTTTTGTGTGCAGGTGACATTGTGGAGGCCCGTCATGATGTACAGAGTTTTGTGTTTTTTGCCTGTCAGGAACTCTTGTGGAAAGCCTTGTGGAAGGGTATGTAAACAGATTCAATAGATCTGTTTATTGGAACTAATCAGCCTGCCAGGTGAAAAACATGAAATCTCCACCCGAAGGAGTCATTACGGTGTCCAAGGCACTCTGTTGGATGCAACTTGGCTTTGGTGTATGCAAGGCTTTCACGGCAGAAATTGCATGATGTCGCAATCGACCTGCTAAGGTTTGACGTGAAACCCAAGAAGGTCACCGCAGAGGATGGCAGAACGAAGGCCAAATTCTCACCAGCGGTCATGGCCAGAACCTGTTTGAACCCGAAAGATTTGCATATGGCCGGCATATGGCACATCCTTCCCATGAATCTTCCCATGAATCTTGGCTGACTTTGCCAGATTGACGACTATTGGGAGCCATCAAAGAAGAGCCTTTGGGGGGTCAGAGCCTGTGCTTTCGATTGCTGTTGCAACTGATTCACGATTTTGTGATTTGGAGTCATTTACAGTCGCCTTTTTGCATGCCTCACAATGCGTTGTTGGTGAGGAGGATTGTTTGATTTTAATGCTGGAAATGGTGGCTCGAATCAAGCTCTGAGATTTCAGTCTATGGCATGGCCCAGGATTCGAAGATGCTGGACAGATTGCTTGGCCGGGAATCCTGAAGTGACGTGCTGCTATGTTTTGTTTTCCCATTCGCGATGCTCGCAGCTATCTTACCCGTGCTTGAGATGCCTAGACGTGTTGACAATTCCAAGCTGAGGATATGACAAGGATCACATTCCAGCCAACAGCTTAGCGGACATCGTTTCTCCTATTTGCACTACAAAAAGCCCAAGCTAAACAGCTAAGATGTAAGGTGTAGCAAGAAAAGGGGAATGAGCCCTTCCGTAAATCAGTTGGCTTCTGCAGTTGAATGCCACAGCATGTGGATTTCCCGGCACAGGTCGAAGTGATTGAGAAGCTGAAGCCCCTTGAGGATGATCCAGAGTTTGACCCAGAGGCTTGGGAAGACAGCAGACAGCAGTCTAGGACCCTAGGAGTCTATGATGTGCTCATTGCAACAGTGACCACCTGTAGCACCTGTAGCACCTGTAGCATCTGTAGCTTGACCACCTGGAGAATCATGAAGAATCACGGAGAATGAGCTAATCTGATCTATATCATTTGTGCAGTGTAAAGAGGAGCGTTGCAGGTCATCAAAAAAGCATCTACAGCTGCCATGGGGATCTGCAAGTGGGCCAGGAGCTTTGATGTAGGGTGTGGATCATGAAGAGTTGACATAGTCACCCCTTTAAAGAGAATAGAGATGGGAAGAAAACACACGTACACACACACACATGGATGACGGACTGGAGAAGAATGCTCTCTTCAGAAAGGTTTGGTGGTGTTTGATTTGTCCACACCCTGTTGTGCGAAGGTCAGGGCAATGATCGTGTACGATGGTGTTGCCAAAGTCGTTGGGCCAAAAAAGGAGGCGGGCTTGACTCTGTTGATGTGAACTTCAAAAAAGAGTGCAAAGATCAAAGAAAACCATTAAAAAAACTATAGAAAACTATTGAACATTTCCTTGTCGTAGGTTTTGGCGTTACCTTTACTTTGATTCCGTTTCGACACCTTTCCAACTCTTCCTGGGATTTCCAAGTTAGCAACGTTGAATGCAGGCTCTTGCAGGAGCTCAGGAGGAGCTGGCCAAGGCTGGAGCTGTGAGAAGCTCTTCATTTCGTGACGGGTTCCATGATATTTCATGACATGTCAGTTGTGTTCATCTGGTTTTGAATTCACGACAACCTTTCACAGCAACCTCAACTCCACAGGTGGCAAGGCTCGCATATGCCCCCCATTCCCTTGCAGGTCATGGGCGTCCTTGATGAGAAGAAACGGGAGTTGAAAGCAGTGCAGGACCTGAAGACGATATGAACCTTTAATGATCTTATTTACAGTAATAACTATATTTAACTTAATCGATGACATTTTAATGATCATTTCACCTCTCTCTCTCTGTCTTTAATGTAGATGTGTGAAGCTTGTCTCACATAGAGTGTGTGCAATACATCTACAGCCTGCATGAAGAACGCAAGGCACTCTATGTACCCATCCTGGCACCCTGTAGGACAACGTGGCGCAGCTCCTGGCAGACTTCGAAGCTGCACGGAAGAAGAAAGATGACCTGGCTGTGCAGGCAATTTGGATCAGATTTATATTATACAAGGTTCACATGCTCGGCTTTCCATCCACTTTGTTTTTTTGATCAAAATTCGGGATTGATGGACGGAGTGTTTATGACTGGGCCATCAGCAATGTCTCTTTGCAAGGTGGAGGACTGCAGCAAACGACTGGTCCGTGCCGAAAAACTCATCAGTGGCCTTGGAGGCCCCTATGACTAGTCTTTGTCAAGGACCTTTTTTCATGTCCTAGACTGGAGCCATGAAGAGGTGTGGAGATTTTCCATGGAGAGGTTTGTGGTGGTGCGAATTTTCCTTCTCTGGTGCGGTTATCCCTAGAATCTGCAGGTGAGAAATCTCGGTGGATGGAATCCTCCAAAAGTTTGGGAGAACAACACACCAATCTTACCGGAGATGCTCTTGCCTCAGCAGGGGACACTAAGTAAGTGACTAGTAGGTCACTGGGTCACGAAAGGAAGAATCGCAAGTTTGAACTTAAGTTCAATGGGTTGCAGATCATTTTAGGAATCTTAAAATGCAGATGGGTGAAACTGTGAAGGACGGCTGAAAAGGGAAACTCTCTCGAATCTGCATCCCACAGCGATATACTTTGCAGCTACTCCAGCTGTATCGGCTTACAGTGCGAATGGCCCAGAAAGACGTGCCCTGAAAGGGGCGCTGAGGACGTCTTCGCCAATGGAACACAAAGACCTGGCTTCTGCGGTGCGGAATGCTGCCAGTGAGATGTCGGCCTACAGCAGCTCTCGCCCATCTCGTTCTTCAAGTGAAGCCTGCCTTCGAAGCAAACGGAAGCACCGCTCTCGTCGTCAAGCTCAAGAGGAAGGCTTTACCCTTGAGCAGCAGCAGAAAGCTGTTCAGGATGCAGCCTTTGACAGATATATTGAGTCATTGCGTGTAGATGCAAAGAAAGCAGTGACTGAAGCAAGAGTGTGGCAGGAAACAGTGAAGGGATGGATGAATGAAGAGCAGGTAGAGAAACAACAGAAGAAAAACCTTTGCCAGAAAAACCAAGCTCAGCTTTGTTCTCAAATTGAGAATAACAAGGCCAGACGAGCAGAGTCTCGAAGAGAATATATAGAAGCTGCCTCATCTCATTCTTTTCCACTCTTCACAGAGACCTTCATATCTCTTCCAGAAGTGGAAGAGTATGAGAGGAAGCGAAAGGCAAATTTCAGGAGGGAGCTTGACAACCAAATGGCCACCAACCAAATTCTCCACAACTTGGAGATCAAGAAACACCATGACAGGGCCATCGAAATGTACAAGGAGAATGTGGAGAAAACGAGAAAAGATCGTCGGGACGAGAGAAACAGATTGGCATCGCAAGGACGGGAGCTGATCGCCTCGTGGGAAAGAGACATCCGCCTGAAGGATCTGAAGCGTGCCATGGAAGCCGGCAGGGACGTGGTCAAAGAGATTGACGATCCAGTTCTGAAGAACAGGCCCTAGTATATCCCTAGGATTTGTAGGATCCCTAGGATCAGGCGTGGCATATGGTCCGATTAGGATTCCAGGATGGCTGGCCAGGATGATGCGCAGGGTGAGCCCGCCAAATGGCGGGGTCTCCTGCACTGTAAAGTGTTCTGTTGATACTGGTTTCATCTGGTTTCACGGAAAAGAGAGAACTTGATATGGGCAAGGCCACAAAATTGAGCGCTGCCAGCACTGCAGCTGCTGTTGCATCTCATTGAACATTCCGATTTGCAGTTGTGGATGGCCGTGACATCCGAGGTTCTCATTGGCTCAGGAATCATCGCTTACTTGGGCACCTTCACTGGTCGCTACCGAGTGGACACAGTCAAAAGTTGGGCTGGGGACATAGCTGACATAGCTCTCTGCGGTTAAGTCGGTCAAGTGAAAACGCACTCGATGGTTTCAGCTCTGTGCCCCTCGACATCCCTCGACAAGGTGCAGCTCATGAAGGACAATCAACTTCCATCTGCGCAAGAGTTCTCCTTGCGTACAGTGCTTGGTGACGAGGCGCCGCTTCAAGTGGCCAAGTGTTTATCATTTCGCGGTCAGTTGTGATTCAGTTTGCTGGCAACTTCTGGGCGCTAGGAAGTTTCCACCACACCAATGCAGGTAGAACTTTCATGACTCACATCCTCGTACACAAAGCTGCTACAGGTTCAGATTCGACAGTGGGTGATAGACAAGCTCCCAAACGATCAGGTGGGGTGACTGGTGACATTGTCGCAGCAATGTAGCGCGTTCCATCCGGACTGCCTCAAAGCAGTCTTTTGCAAAGGAAAGGCTTGTGCATGGCTAGCAGCTAGCATAATATGCATGCTAGGTGTCTGTCGAGAATGCGATCATCATCCAGAGGCCATTTGCTCTGGTAGGGAGCATCGTTGGAATGCACACGATAAATTCGCTTCCGTTTGTTTTTTTGTGATGATGACATGGTCCGAGGGTGTGTGTGCGGTTGGCTAGCTTGCTCTCAAGTCATAACTTTACTGTGTCCATCATATCATTTTCTTGACATTGCAGTGATGACAAGGTCGAGGAGATGGCCGTTGATGATTGACCCGCAGCTACAGGCTGTTGCAGCTGTGTTTCAGCTCACATTGACACACGCGACGTACAAACGTACGAATTTGATTGGCAGGAGACAAGTACCTGGGTCCATTTCGCACATAGCCGACATAGCCTATGCACTGGTTGTACGTCGTAAAGAAGATGCTCCTAGAGCCTGTTGAAAGAATATGTCATTTGGATCGAATCTCGAACACGCCAGGCCAATCAGTGGATCCGAAAGGCATGCACAGGACCTCCAAAGTCAAAGCTCTGTTGCCACTGAACCTGCAGTAACGAAATGCCTGGGGAAAAAAAGTGCTTCTCCCAAAAGTGTTGAAGTCTTCCCCATTTCCCATTGGTGCAGCTTCCCGAAGTTTCCCAAAGTTTCCGTTTTGTGTGTTGGAGTGTGGCGTATGGCGTCAGGAAGAGGAGAACAACTTCGCATCCTTCGTTTGACTCAGAACTATGCTCGCGAGCTCGAAGGCCTGAACCTGTTTGACATCCCATCGCTACACACGGTACACATGACCCATGCCCATACAGACTACAGACAGACCTCAACGACCCCCTTAACACTGGCAGAGTTTGCCGCAACAAGGTGCAATTGCCTACGGCAAGCCGGCATTGTTAGAAAATGTCCGAGTTCCCAGTCGCAAAGAAATGCAGATGCCAGACATCCACGAGTGAGACACGACTAGAAATGGAATCGATTTTTGCTTTGGGCGGATGAAGATGTTGAGATTCGCCTCAAGCAACTAAATTAGAGGACATGACAAGTGCTGGTTTGTGTGCCTGATGAGCATTCAAATCCTTGAACTTGAATAATGAGGTGTTGGAGCAGCTTGACCCACTGCTCGAGCCGCTCCTACAGAAGGTTCGTTTTGTGTGTGGAACAGTGCATGAGCCACCCTTTACCAGCGCAGTCTCTTTATCCTGAATACTATCGACTATCTCAGTCAAACAGCAGGCGATCTTCAAAGCTGGCAGTGTGGCCAGAGACTTGGGGTCTTGGATCAGTCATGCAAAAAGTGGATAGAGAGGGGCAACGCTGAAGCTCCAATATGATCCGATATGAAGGGATGTTGAACCCCGTCCATGCACTACATGCAAAAAGCATCAAAAAGCACCTGTGCCCCACCTTTGGGCCTTCCTCTGTTGGTTGATATTTTGCGCACCTTGGTCCTTGATCCTGCCAAGATGATGATCCGGCTGGGTGACTCGCCATGCGAGTACAACAAGGCCTGTGAGCACTTCGGCACTTCGGCAATGGACATTTCCTACAACTTTGGCACCTTTGTAATTTGCTGCAGTTTTTTGAGATTGTTAAATTGTTGTTTCTCCAAAGAAGCACCAAAAGCGCAGGACTTCCGCTTCTACATCACCACGAAGCTGCCAAATCCACACTACTCACCTGAGGTTTGTGTGCAGGTGGGGGTGTTGCGTAAAATTGCTGGCATTTTTGACACAGCAAAGGCACAGATAGATTGCTATTATATGATATTGCATGTCACTTCAAGTTCCCTGGATGATTCACAGGTCACTCTGTTGAACTTCATGGCAACACCCGATGGACTTCAAGATCAGATGCTTGGCATCCTCGTGGCTAAAGAGGCGTGGAAGAATCTGCAAACTTCAGAGTTTCTTCGCAGAATTGAATTCTCGAATTTCATATTCATGTTGATTCATGTTGAATCATGTTGATTCAAGCTCACTTGTTGGATGTGGATTGAGACAGGAGCCAGAAGTGGAACGGAAGCGGCAAAATCTGATCATGGAAAGTGTGAGGATCCCAGGACTTGTTTCATGATTCTCATGAAGGTGTGTTGATGAATTGCGAGCCTTTGCCACACGCAGATGGCCGAATCGATGTGAAGTCTGAGCTTAGGCACAAAGCAAAGCTCAGCTGAAAGAAATCGAGGACATGCACTTTCGCAAGACTTCGCAAGACTTCGCAAGACTTCGCAAGACTTCGCATCTCAAGAGTTGAGACAGTTGAGCGTTTTCTTTGCCTTTGGCATCTTGGCGCAGGATCGCATTTTGCAGCTGCTCTCAGACTCAAAGGGCAACATTTTGGATGACGAGGAATTCGACTCGTCACAGATTTTCTGATTTTCGCAACTTTGGTTGTTGCCACACCTTGGTCCTTGCCTGCCTCAAAGGAGCTCATCAATACTCTCGCCACCTCAAAGACAGTGACCACCCAAGTAGCACAGTGGTTTCAAAGGTCGGATAGAATGCTCGAATGACCAGTACCAAGATTGCACAACTTTACAAGCGGATTTCCAAGAGCCTCTATTTTGTGTTGAACGGAGCTTTGTTTACGGTGCTTGAGAATGATCTTGTGCGGTCTACTTTGCCAATGAGGCCTCTCTCAGAATTGAAGAGCGTGTTGCAGAACAGGACGGCTGCAAAGAGATGTGACAATCCGAGTGGAGACTATTGTGGTTATAGCCTGAAATTTGCTTTCCAATTAAGATCTGTCAATCCATTTGAACGCTTCAATGCTGTCTGGATGGCAGCATACTGGTAGAGTTGAAGAATACAGAAGTCTTTACTGCAAGCCTATGGTTTGCTGCATAACTATCACAACTTCGTGAGTTTTATGCATAACTGACATTAACTGACATTAACATCATTAACCAACTGAGGTTTTGAGGTCAGGTTTTGATGTCGTTGAGATGACCAGGAAAAGACGCAGGCTCAAGTGCAAGAGACTCGTGCAACTTATGTGCAGAGCTAAGCTCACCATGTTCGCCCTTGTTTAGCAAAGCTAAATAAAGAACTCACAGGTTCGGGCGTAAACAACTTTTTAACAATTCTATTTCGAATGAATGTGGGATCTGCGCCTCAGCTAGTTTCATCTGAGCAGACAGGAGAGATAAGGAATGCATCGCAATGTCCAAAGGACTTTATCCAGTGTCATTTGCACTTCTCAATTTGAGTCAGTTCCGTCAAGTGAGTCTTTTGCTTGAAGGTGCCGGTGGCTGTTCGCGCCAGCAACTTATTTCTAGGTTTGTCAAGACTAACACTACCAGCACAACTGTCCAAACATAAAAAACATATCTATTTCAGAGATGTCATATTAAGGAACTGACATTGTTGCATTGCTGCATTGTCGATCAATGCTTTTCTGGCAACCATTGGAGTTGGACCAGAATCAGATTGCTCGCAGCTTCGACTCTGCCTAGACTTGCCATGCCAAGATTTGTGTTGGCTTCAAGAGCGAGCCAGCAAGCACGCATGTTTGGTTTTTTGTCCAACCCTTCCATCTGCAATTGGTCTTTGAGGCTAGCGCCCTTTTCTTTGTGATCGCAGACCTCTGCAATGCACTGGTCTCAGATTGTGACAACATCCTGTGCTCTCCACCTTTCAAACCTCCTGAGTGCTTCGCCATAATTTCTGTTGTGTGCCAACTCCTTGTTCAGTAAGGTGGAGCCGATGTACCAGTACAGCCTTGAATGGTTCTGTTCTTATTTTGCACATGGATGGACCAGATGTTTGGAGCTGCTCAGAGTTGTCGAACTTGGACCTGCTGAGGTTCTACACCATCTATGAAAACGCGATTGCTAGGCCCCCACAGGTGAATGCAGCGAATATTTTCAAACTCTGACAAGAGGACATGTATAGTATAGTAGTATAGACTGCAGAGCTGTAAATCACATGCTTGCATATTCTTGCAAAGTGTAAAACCATGGTATTTGGACATTTGGATGCATCTGGTAGGTGAATGAAGGTGAGATGTTGACAATGATCATCCACTGAGGTATCCGCAGAGAAGTTCGAGCGCAACATCCAGAAACGCTTGGGAGCATTGCAGAGCAAATTCTTGGAGCTGCTTTTCGATGGGACCTCAGAGGAAATGCCTACTGTAGCCATCTGTAGCCTATAGCTCATATCTGTTTTATAGCGGATTTATAGCTGATTCTTAGCTGATTTAGCAATGCATAGCAGTGATTTCATGGCTGTGTGGGCTGAATGACCTCAATGAACTGCAGCTGTTTGTAATAGAGCATTGCAAAAGACTGCAACTCATGAGTGGCACCAAATCATGCAGGGATTTGCATTGATGAGAGTAGTGAAGTGCAGCACAAGTATAGGCTCCGACATTAAAATTCGCTCTGGAGCTCTTGCATTTGACCGAAATGCCAGTAGTTGAGCAATCCAGAGCTTCTTTTTCCGTGTGTTGATAGCGCTGATAGTGTAAACCAGCAAGTACCACGTCATACCACATCATGGTTTTGCCCAACTGGATATTACAGCTATGACGCAAGCAAGTAGAACGAAAGACCAGGCCAGGACATCAACCTTCCATGACCTCTGACTTCGTACAATTTCAACATGTAAGTAGGCCCCAAAAGCTATGTGGAATGCCAGTGAAGTTAAATGGTTAAATCAATGATACAAGCAGGGTGAGCGATCGTGATGTATCATTTGATGCTGCAAGCGTATGAAACTACAAGTCGCTTGTGGCAAATGTGAAACAGGTGATCGTCAGGGTCACAGCCGAAGATGAAGAGCGCAGGACTAGAGCTTATTCCAGGGATCGAAGTTGGGAATTCATGAAAGTTGCGTGTGCGCGTTTTTTGTCATGGTCTGGGTAGCCCTGGGTTCCTTGAGTCGAGTTGAGTGATTTGGCACCTGTAGTTGTTCTCAGGCGCTACCGCTGGCAATGTCGTCTATCTTTGCAGCAAAACCTCATGCCCTTGAAGCGCATGTGGGCCGAGGCAAGGACATTAAAGAAACACCGGGCCTGTGACGACATTTTGCGAACTAGAGGATATCGTTGGACACTAGACTCACTAGACCATTCCCACAGATTCACGAGGGGTCTTGAGATACAAACGTGCTTGGAGATTGAACATGGTTCCACGAGGCTCATGGGGTCGAGGAGGAGGCGAGCTTTGCTCTGAACCGAAGTCGAGACAGAGACTAGCTGGAGAAAATTCGTATGATCAGACAGCAACTCATGCACTCTGATAGCGCTGATATCTTTTAGTGTTTTCCTATATTTTCCTGCCTTTTTCCTTAAAGTCCCTAAAGCCCCAGGCCACTTAGGCCCTTAACTCGTGCGCCGGGGCAGGCAGTTCTTTTCCTGGATGAAGCTGGATGTTTGGTGGACCTGGAGAAGACGTTGCTCAATCTGCAAGTGGAATATGCTTCAGCTCCCAAAGGAATCATCATGATAACATATGATAACAATGAACTTGATAATGAATAATGATAATATATGATAATATTGTGTTATGATGACAACAATAAATAATAATAACTTAAGTTGACAAAAGTCAATGTTTGCCGATCTGGCAAAAGGTCTAGCAGCTGATGCAGACAGACTTTGGCCACAGTACAGTTGATTTTGTTCTTCAGATCCTGCTGAAGAAATTCTGAGGCCTCCTCAACTGGGATGGAAAGACACCGTGGAACTGCGCCTTGGGCCAGAAAGAAAAGTTTTTTTTTCATATTTGATGTATGTGAGGTATCCACTTGCATCACTGAGACTTAGACCAAGGCTGCAGACTTTAGAACTTTTAGAAGAACCATAGCCTAGCCCATTAAAAGATATGAGAGAGAGAGAGAGAGAGAGAGCCCCGAAGCGATTGGCTGGGCAAATCCTTCTTGCCATGTGCCACCGGAGGTCCTCTGTACCTGCCAGCGATGAGTGGGCAGAAGGAGGCCCACAGCTATTGCTTTAATACGTTTCAATCAGCGCTGCATGCACAGGTGAGGTGCGTGACTTGATCAAGTGCAAGTCAACGTGAAGCGCGTGAATCAGATAATGGTAGGTCTTGATAGGTCTTGTACTTTGTGATTCAGGTACTGCAGCAAAACGACGGCCAAAGCGAGCCAAAGTTGAGAAAGCGCCAGAGCAAACCCAGTTGGCTGAAAAAGCCCAGGCACAGTGGGTGAATGCCATCGTTGGAAAGTACGGTGTCAGCTTCAACCATTCACCGGCGGATTTTGGCAGAACGGAGCCAAGATGGACCTGGATGCCAAACCACTGGCGGCATCTTGAATGCGTTGATTGCGTGGAATGCATTCTCCTTTTCGTTTTTGAAATTCATGAGGCATTTCAACATATTTCAACATATTCCAACATGGATTTCATGATTTGCCATATTTGCCGATCGGGCCGAGGATTTGGGCGGCAGCCTGCCAGGGGATGATGACCCAGTTGAATTCCAGGAACTGGGGAGGGCTTGCTGAAATGTATACAATGTAGTCTGGAAGACTCAACACTGGATAGATGATGATAGATGCTCAAAATTGCTCAAACAAATCCAGGTTTGTCAAGAATGGAATCCAACTCCAAAGATACAAAAGCTGCAAAACCTGTTTTGCTGGTCCCAGCACTGGTTTCTGCCATGATGTTCCCTGAACTGCAACTTTGAATGCTTGTCTTCCTCACCCATTTCGCTGGCAAATAGTCAGCTGCTTTCAAGTGATATGAACCAACTCCAGCGACTTGTCGTCGCAGAACGTGTGCTGTAGAACTGCAGCCCGCAGGCGGAGAATCCGAAACGGCAGCTCAGCTGGCAACTTTTTCCCCCTCCGTTTTGAATGTCAAATGATCCGCAATATGAAGGAATAATAAGGAATATGGTGTCACGGTTGGATGGTAGCCATGAGGACAACTTAGTTTGCCTAGGTCTGGCACAACCGCGTACGAGCGGTATGAGCAGCTTGGGCTGAAGATGGCTGAAGTCTTGCGTGAATGGATACTTCAAGTTTGCAAGTATTTGGCTTGAATGGGTCAACCTGTGGTATGCCACAAAATGCCCTTGTGAACTTCAATCAGTACAGCACTGTAGTAACAAAACCACTGCAAAGGGCCCCCTTTGAACATTGATCGGACATTACATGTTGATCATTTTATCCAAGAAGCCAACATGTTTAGCATTCCATCCAAGAACTCAAGAGTACCCGACTCAAGGCCTTATACTCACTTCTCATCTCTGATAACTGGACAGATTCCCAGGAAATACAAGTCGGCCAAGACCATTGCAGCTGCAATCGAAAAAGGTGCAGCACGAGGCGACATCATGAACGACTTCAAGACTCTTGGACCAAGAGATGAATTATGCATTACTGTTACTCTAAGTCGCTGCTCTGTAGTCGGCTTGTATTTGGACATATTTAGAAGAATGATTTTTTCGTCACCTTTATTCCCCGACCTCAGCTGCTTAGGAAGGGCTTCATTCGGCCTCTATGACGCCGTTTGCCCTGTGGTTTGTGTGCTTCCAGCACGATGAGAAAAGCTGTTTGCAAGAGGATTAATTACAGCCTAGCATCACTGCTGAAGAGCAGCAGGTTTGATTCTGCTGATTTTCTCCAAAACTGTTCGTTTTGGGGTCTTTGCCCAATAGGTTTCCGGTGGCTTGGGGTGGCCGAATAGTAAGCAGGGGTTAGCCCAGTTTTTTCGCGAATGTGCACTGAACAGCATCAAAAAATATCAAAAATCAGTCCTTATGGTTGAGAATGATAGAATTTCCCTCGTAGCAGTCTATCAATGCGAAGCGTTTGAAGTGTTCACTTGCTTGCAAAGCCTGAAACGCCGCAATCCTCAAGTGAAACGGAGATAGTGGATTGGTAGAGTTGGAGATCCCAACTTCAAGCCGAAGCTGTCATGCTGAGCCAAATTTCAGAAGCAACTGAAAGTCCTGTACGAAGATCCGTTCTACTCCACAACTCTGAGCTGCTTTACTCGAAAAAGGCTGAAAGCCACTGTCAGCTTCAAACTTCAAGTTGTGCAGTGGGTTGATTCTTCAACCATGGGCACAGATTGTTGCCGAAGGGGGGGAACTGAGCAGCCAAAAAGGCTTTGCAACTGCGAGCTTTGCGAAGTCTGTGCTTTCGTGTTTTTTGATGCGAAAGGCATGCTCTTCGCAAGACGCTACACGGGAACAGTGCAACTCTTCGACGGTCATGAATGCCAAAGCTTCCCATTTCCAGTCGCTGATTTACTGAGGAACAGACATGTCATTCACTGTTTGAGAAGGACTTGCGCTCTGTCTATGCAATTTCAAAAAGCGATGAAACATGAGATACTTTGGATTCTTCTCTTTTCTTCTACGCCGAGTCTAAATGGCTTTTGGGCAGGATTCCGTCCTTCATTGGATTTGCAAGCACTCGCATCATTCGCACTTGGAGAATCAAGGCAATCACCTGCAAGGACAAATTGATGCTGTCCTTACTGCTGGCCTTCAAGTCCATGGAGGCCACTGCGAACATCTTCATTTGTGGAATGAAAGAGTTTGAACTTGAATTTACTGTACAGATATGTTTAGCAGGTAGATGATGACATCAATTTGGAGGAGAAGCCTGGCCTGGCATGTTTATCAATTGAAACTCTTGGCTTCATATGCCTTGTTTGATTGCGTGGGAGATGAAAGAAATGTGACTGAACTAAATGCAGTGGGATTCTTTGGCTGGAAAGTGCCATGGTTGCATCAAATTGCATCCCATTTGGCCAGGCGTTTGCTTCTCATGGCACTAGGGGGTGGCACGGCCCAGACAGCCAAACCTTCTGCAGAGTGGCTGACCGAAAAGATGTGGAGCAGGCTGTGGAGCTTTGGAGCTGGGAATACATCCCATGAATCATCGGTCCAAATTGGGTCCCTCGGCGAACTGCCAGGATTTGCGTCTTGGACAAATTGGGCAAAGGCCCATGGTACAAATTTGCGAATTCCTTCAAGGCTCAGTCAGCTGGCAGCTAGCCTTTGAAGCTTCCGCTGGCCCAAGTGGCAAGCTTTGACACTTCCTGGCAGGATAACATTGATAGATGGCGGGTGGTTTTCGACTCTGACAATCCGTTGGCTGAGCATTGGCCCGGCAAGGACGATGTGCTGCGGAGATCTCGGGAGCAATGCGTGGAGATTGCTAACTCCATGGGGATTAGCTGATTAGCTAACAACTCTAAAACAATATCAGACCATGATTTGTTTATTTTCAGGGATGTGAAATGCCAGGTTGGGACTGCATACAGACTCACAATTGCACTGGAAGCTATTGAAAAGCCTGAAGCAGCAGTGCTCCATTCAAAACATGGCCATTCCAAAGCAGAAAACACGACTAACCGATAGTCTCTCCTTTTGACGAGAGCTGTGATATGTCAAGAACAGCAGCTCTACGGTTTATGCCAGGAGCAAATGTCTACCCTACAGAGAGCCTTGGTGCTTCTGGCAGTCCCTTGGCAAAAGTCTGTCGCAGCCGTCACAGCCGTCACAGCCGTCACAGCCGTCACAGCCGTCACAGCCGTCACAGCCGTCACAGCCGTAACAGCCCAATGGCCCAGTGATTCAATGCGCCTCACGATGCATATTGTGCATTAGACTGGCCTCAGATGCTTTGGGCTTTCTGAGCTGTTTCTAAAGCTCAGCATTGAGTGCAGCATTCAGCTCAGCGAAGGTTCGCACTGATTGCACAATAGCTGGATTGCAAGAGGCCCGCCCGCAGGGCAACTGTCCATATGCATCCGTGTGCCCGGTGTGAATTTGATATGATTAGCTGATTTGCAGGTGATCGCTGCGAATCTGGGCAAGAGCTTCTTAGAGCCACCAGGGTTCAACCTGGAAAAGCGCGGATGCCAAGTTCAGTGTGGTCCTGCCTTTCTTATCAAAGCAGTGAAATGCTGCTACAGCCAGACACTTGCTGATCCGGCCAAGTTTTTCTTGGCACTGAAGGGCCTTTCACAGCGCGGGTTCTAACTGCAAGCCGCTCATCTTTGTGTTGTCCTCTGGTGCTGACCCCATGGTCAAACTGGCATGTTTGACCAGAACAACCAATGCTTGAGATCCACTTGTGGCCATTCCCCTGCCAGGTTGAAGTGATACGCTTGGCGCAAAAGATGGCAATGAACGATCACTACATCACGGTGGTCCTGTCTCATTTTTGACGTGCAGACTGCACGGCAGCAACGGCAGCAACGGCAGCAACGGCAGCACGCTATTGGACAAGCTGTTGAACTAATTCTGTGGTCATCTCAATGATTCACTGAATGACTCAAGAGCCAGGTCTCCCTGGGTCAAGGACAAGGTCCAAAGGCAAGGGCTTTTGGAATCTCTCACTTTTCTCTAGGTCTCGTATCCATTTGTATCCCTGTTTTCAATGTTGAACTTGATCAAAGCTTTAATGGGCAGGCCGAAAAGGCAATCAAGGAAGGCGCAGAACAAGGATTGTGGGTCATCCTGCAAAATTGTCAGGTTCTCAAAAGTTGATCATCTCGCAACATGATTGCAACGACATTTCAACTCTTTGCCTGGAACTGGAAAGAAACATAAAGAAACCAAGGCCACTTGGCACCCTCTTGGATGCCTACCTTGGAGGTGATGGTGGAAGAGCTCCCGGACAAGGCAAGATTGTCAGTGTAAACGTAAACTGTGTAAGCACAGAACATGGAACAGACTTGCTTTGCCGGTGTACTTGCTGTGTCTTGCGCTGTGCCCAACACATAGTTTTCCGAGGGAGTGCAAGACCAGTTTCGCCTGTGGCTGCGGGCAACTGAGAGGGTTCCGATAAAGCAGCAGTAAGAAACACTTTCCTCCATGTTGTCCTGAAGAGTTTCTCGAGTGATCAAAGATGGTCAGCCAGTGCATTTCTGTTTCAGCCAGGACAGCAATGCCTTCACCGGACTTTCCAATCTCAGTGCTGCAAAATGGAATGAAGATGACCATAGAACCTCCCAAAGGTCTGTAGCTTAGATGTTGCACCGGAGTTCACTGAGAAGTACACTATACATCACGATACCATCGAATCATATGCGATTGGTGCCATCTGCGCACGTGGAGCGTGTCATTGTCACAGCTGGAGGCTTGAAGTCGAACCTACTTCGAGCATTCAACTCCATTGATCCCGACTGGTGAACAGCTCAGTTCAGCTTGGCTTCGAACTTGTTGAGGTATTGAGCAAAAGAAGAGACCGGAACACGCTATTTATTGAGGTGGTATTGGTTTCAGAAAATACACCCCAGTGTGGAAGTCGAAGCGTTTTCAAAAAATATGCGTCCTAGTTGGGGGAGATTAATATGGGAAGTCGATGCGATGTTGTGTCCAGTTGGTGTTTTGTAGGTTATGGTATTATTACATATATTTACTATGTTCTATTTTATTGTAACATATTGCAGCTAATATGTATGCTACGGTATCCATTGCCAGCCGCAGGTTTGCTGAAGCCTGCACGAAGAATACGGAGTGCAAGCACACCTTCAGGAAACTGCCGTGCTTGTTTTTTTGCTGCGGCCAGAGCATAGCCTGTTGCACCGCTGTGATTTTTCTTTGGCTTTAAATGGAATTTAAATGCTTCGGTAATGATGTCATAATGATGTCATAATGCTTCTGCCTTTGGCCTTTCGGATTTTCGACAACTGCAGTCTGCAGTGCTGTGCAAAGTCTCTGGTGATTTGGAGTTGTGCTGTCGCACCTTCGCAGAATTTTGTGCCAGGAAGATGCTCTTTGGGCTGTGCTTTTTCCATGCGTCGATTCAGGAACTGCACTTTGCATACCTTTGCATTCTTTTTGTAACATTTGAATATATAGCATTTGCAACGAGTTCTCTTGGGACTTCCTTATACAGTACTTCTTTTCTGCAAAGGCAAACTGTTTGATCCCCTCTGCTCTTGCCATCCCAAGCGTGTCGTTCTTCCCCCTCTGCTATATGCAGGTTTTCCTTTTGATTTCAAATATTTCAACAACTCATGTACTCAATGTCTGTTCTTGGCCTTTTTCAGCACAATATCGCCGTCCCGAACTTATCGTGATGTCAGGAACGTTGCACATATGGCCCTCTGGGTTGGAACATTCCGTCTCTCCGTCATGTGTTTACTTTTACAAATATGACGTCACTGTGTATCCATCATAAACTTTGATTGATACCGTCTGAAGACTGCTTGCAAAGAATTGCAAAGATATATGTATATATATAGATGTCAAGGAAGTCTTCAAGGAAGTCTGTGTGGGATCCCGCCAGGTACCAATTCTCTGAGCCAGACAGACAGATTTGTATGATGCAGCTCAGGACCCTGTGGGAATTTTGAGTGTGCAGAGCATTCTCCACATGTGAAAAGTGGAGCAGCAAAGCATATTTCTTCTGTTTGTGACTACTTTTTTGAGCCAAAGCCACTGAGTTGTGAGGATGTTTCTGGAAGAAAACGATGCGGTTCCATATGCAGCATTGAGATACACTGCTGCAGAGGCGCGTAGCTGCTTTCCCCCTTTTGTGGCTTTTCAGATTGATACTGACACTGGGAATCAGCCTTGTCAGCCATATGCTTCAGAAGGATTTCAGTTAGTATGTAAACATAATATGTAAACAACATAAATGTGGGATTCAAACGACTCCCTTCACAAGAGAAGAAGAGAAGCTCCAGAAAACTACCCGCATCGTGTTCAAACATATACTCCGGCTTCCTGCACAGCAGGCAAACTATGGCGGACGAGTGACAGACGTACACGATAGCTGGTCTCCTAGTGAATTGCGCCAGTGTGGTCCAATGTTTTTCTGTACCACGCATTCCTCTGCACTTTTTCTCTTTTAATCTGTGTCCTCAAAGGGGATTGGCTGAAGGTTTGGTGTCATTGTCAGTTGTGTTTTTTGAGGGCGATGCATCAATTTCCTTCTCTCGGACTTCTACTGCCCAGAGATTTTAAAGGACGATTACAAGTTCTCGGTGCTGCTGGCAAAGTGTTCCAGCTTGAGCAGTTGCTTGGTTGAGTCGAGGGTTTTGAGAATTGAGCAGTGAGCAGAACCCCTGCTGATAGGTTATTATAGGGGGTGATACAGTTATACTATATGGTTGATGGGGATTATCATCATTTATTAACAACTATGATATGTCCTTACCAGTAGTACCGCACAAGGCGGTGGCGGAAGTTTCAAAGATAGGATACTCTAGGAGAGGTGAGTTGTTGTGATGCATTAATGGCAGAGCGAATCGACTGATGGACCGAAAGGTGGTTGGAGTTGTGTTTTTTGGAGTGGTTGCAGTGGTTGCAGTGGTCACCTCACCCAGAACTGCTGGATGTAGTGTGGATAGTGCAGTTGTAGTTGTAGTTGTAGTGTAGCGTAGTGGAGTTGTAGTTGTAGTGTAGTGTAATTAGTGTAGCGCAGTTGCAGTTGCAGTTGTAGTTGTTGTGTGGTGCAATTAGTGTAGTGCAATGTAGTGTAGTGTACTGTACTGTAGTCTAGCGTAGCGTAAAGTAGTGTAGTTGTAGCTGTAGTTGTAGTGTAGTGTAATTAGTCTAGCGTAGTGCAAGTACCCGCAGAACCTAACGTTCGCCCATGAAGGCATAACATCTCTATTTTTCCCACAGTTTTAACACATGTTTCATCGCGGTTCTACACTAGGCGTGGCCCCTCGCCATGCAAACGACGCAAAATTTGCTTCATGGCTCGTTTCACAACAATTTGCGGCAACAACCCTTCGCAGACTTCGTGGGGGTCCGTGGAAAAGAAGGGCCGTTTCGTGCGAGAAAACACAGGCTCCGGGCAAACGTCCGGTTCTGTGCGTGTAATTAGTGTAGTTGTAGTTGTAGTCACAAGTTGTAGTTGTAGTTGTAGTAGTGTAGTGCAGTGTGGTGTGGTGTAGTGTAATTAGTGTAGGCAGTTAGTGTAGTGTAATGTAGCGTAGCATATTTGTATTTGTGTAGTGTAGCCTAGCGTAGTGTAGCGTAGTGTCGTGTAGTGTAGTGTAGTGCAGTGTGGTGTGGGGTAGCCTAGTGTAGTGTAGTGTGCTTAGCGTAGTGGAATGCAATGTGCTGTGGTTGTAGTTGTAGATGTAGGTGTACTTGTAGTTGTACTTGTAGTTGTGGTGTAGTGTAGTGTAACAATTGTAATTGTAGTTGTAGCTGTAGTAGTTGTTGTAGTGTTGTAAACGTCCAAAAGCGGTCTGAATGTGGTGTGTTTTTAACATATTGAATTCGACATGTGCTTCACGCCACAACGGCGCACACTTTTTCGACATCTTGACTTCAAAAAGTGTTCCGAGACGCTCAGTTCTTTACACTTTTGACTTCCACATGTGCTTCGCGCCACAACGGCGTGCACTTTTTCGACATCTCAACGTCCAAAAGTGGCCCGAGCATGGTGTGTTTTGTACATTTGACTTGGAAATATGCTTCGCGCCACAACGGCGTGCACTTTTTTGCCATCTCAACTGCCAAAAGCGGTCCGAACGTGAGGTGTTTTGCACATTTTGACTTGGAAATGTGCTTCGCGCCACAACGGCGTGCAATTTATCATCTCTCATCTGGCTAGATGGCTCCGCGCCCGCCGCTTTAGCGAGCCTACTTTTCGACCCTCTGGAGCCACAAATCATTGGAAAAACACAATGTTTCGCGACTTTTCTACTTTTTCGCGCGCCTGCGCCTTCTTTCTTCTGACTCTTTCTTCTGACTCTTTCTTCTGACTCTTTCTTCTGACTCTTTCTCCTGACTCTTTCTCCTGACTCTTTCTCCTGACTCTTTCTCCTGACTCTTTCTCCTGACTCTTTCTCCTGACTCTTTCTCCTGACTCTTTCTCCTGACTCTTTCTCTTCTCTTCTCCTCTCTTCTCTTCTGTGACTCTTCCCACCTCTTCTTTTCCATCTGTCCATATTGTCGGAAGTTTGACTTCTAAACTTCCTTCGAGTAGGGATGCCTGTCGACGAACCAATGGGAGAACAGAGGGAACAGTGCTCATTTGAACCCGACACCTGCCAGCCTTCTGGAGTGTACTTTGCACCGACGTACGGGACGACCTTGGATCCATACCTTGAGTGACCCACAGTTCCAAAGCTTCAGGAACCATTTGGGAGTTTCCATACGTGGGGGTACCCCTAAATCATCCATTTCAATGGGATTTTCCATCATAAACCGTCCATTTTGGGGTACCCCCATTTCAGGAAACCGCCATTTAGACTCATTTAGACAATTTTTGATTTTTCTTCGATTTCATTCAGCCATTTTGATGGACATGCTTTATCTTCACATTCTTGGTCTTGCTCCTCGAGTCGGTAAGAGGTACATCCGCAACCTGCCGATCAATCAGATGCCTGAGGCGTGGCCCGTGGACATCAGATTTTGAACACAATTTTATGGACATCAGACCTTTCCCCCTTAGAGCCTATTGATCATTCATCAGATATATTGAACGTCTAGTTGAATTCTGATGCTTCTTCACCTTTTCGTGGAGTTGAGTGAAAGGCTTTTGGGCTTCATGCCAACGCAAATTTGGTGGCAGCGATTAGCGAGGCCCATTTTTTCGCTCAGATGTTTTTGTGGCACAATATCAGCAGTTGGCCATGCAATTTCCGGGTACCGACGACAGACCATGCGATTGCTGGGTACCGCTGCCTCGCTCCAACCAAAGACGGGAGGAGGCAGGTCCTGAAAGCACTGCACTTCCACGTAGCTTCAGGTTGTAGACATATGTATATTATACATAATAAATCATAATAATAATGTGATAATTTTATACAATTGTGAGTCTCTTTGTCTCTGTCTCTTTGCTGTTAGTCTATCCATGCTGAAACTGTTTTTTTTTAACCTGCTGTTTGAGTGAAGCTTTGCCCTGCAGGCGGCGGTGGAGCCTCACAAGAGGATATCATTACAGAGGCATGCGAAGCCACGCCATTGTCAAAATGCTAGAGCAAAGATGAACCAAGACTGAATATGATATCGAGACGGTCAGATAAAGCACCTTCGAGCCAAGTAGGGGTTGCCTTCAGCCTTGGAAACTTCAAAGGTGTTGGTCAAATCATTCATTACGCTGCTCTCACGAGAAGGTACTCATACTGCAGCGCAAATATGTGACTAGTGTCCCTGTGTTGCAAACGCGGTCAAAAATTCTGTCCATCTCTACAATTTGACCTCCTCCCACACATGACATGGCTTCTTTGCAGATTTGTGCATAGAAGACATAGGCCTAAGAATCCAAGAACAAAAATGCTATGTCCCGTTGGTGTTCTCTATGAAGAGGCGGCCTCCAAGTACTTGGAAGATGTGAAGCCTCCATTCGACACAGAGGCTTGCTTTCAGAAGAATCTAGTGTAGTGTAGCCAGATCCGCAGACAACCCATCTAATGTTTTCAAACGGTTCAAACAATAAAGAACAACTCATTTGTGGCACTGTCTTGGCCCTGGCCCTGAGAGTTTTTGCTGTTTGCGAGGCTGCCAATGTTATGTATCCTGTGGACTACAACGAATCGATGAACACAGTGCTGAATCAAGCGTCTCGGCTGCCAGTGCCAGGTTGGCTTTGGATGACTATCTCTTGTTGCAACAATTATCTTTTCCTCGGTGGCTATTACACAAGTGACATTGATTTCCTCAGTCCAGAAGATCAAATCGGCAATTTTTTTGCACTGGCGACAAGGAACTACTTCGCTTCAACAAGCTCATTGTCAAGGTTAGAAGCACTCTTACAGATGTGCGCAAAGCGGTGAAAGGCTCCTTAGCTGAAACAGAATGACCACAGAAGTGGAAGGCAACAAGTTTCCACTGGGGGAAAAGAAGGTCTTTGCTGAAAGAAAGACAGACTACAAACATGCAACAGGGTGCACATGTCAAAGAAAACATAGCTTTTACAATGGTCCCTGGGCATCTCTGCTGGACAAGAAATCTGCATGTACATTCTCAGTGATGTTCCCTGGCCCAAAACTTGTTGGTTGGAAATTCTTCGCCCGCGTTCTGTGGCGTTGATGAAACCCTTTGCAAGGACTTGTGGTGATGAGCCCGGAACTTGAAGAGGTAGCAGATGGCATCCTCACGGACAGGACACCATCGGTGGCTTGCCAGGAACCTTCGAGAACCAAAACGCCAAACTGCATGTGAAGTAGGTTCCTGCTGCTGGCGAATTGCCAAACTGTTCATTTTGTTCCTGCTGCACTCCAAACTGTGCCCATGTGGTGCAAAAAGATGCGAAAAGCTTATTCTGCAGAGGTCTGGAAGGAAGTGTCCTATCCGTCATTGAAGCCGCTGGTATCTTACGTCGCAGACCTGTGTGCTCGACCCTTGAAAGCAGAAAGTGAGCATCTTTGGACAGTGCCCACTGCAAGATAGATCTAGCAGAACAGGCTCAACAGGAACAGTCCACTTATCTAATGGAATTCCTGCGAGTGGAATCCCTGGGTGATGTGGAGGGTTAGAGTTCAGGAGGGCGAAGACTTGACACTCAGCTGAACAGACATGATGCGATCTGGTTGGAAGCAAACACTTGAACTCAGGAGTCAGCTTCTTCCAAACCTGGCTCCATGAAGGCACCCCTGAGTCCTACTGGCTCTCAGGCGCGTTGTTTTGGAAAGACAGCAACGATGATGTACGAAAGTTACAAGAGCATAATAAGCACAGACCCAACTCGACACCACACAGAATTGAAGTTAGCTTGGCAGACAAACCGGTTTGCAGAAAAGTGAATGCCAGTCTATGTAAAAATGTCGGAAGCCTAAATTACAGGAAAGCCGGAAAAAAACAAATAGTACATGGCTGTGTGATGGGGACCCGCTTTGCTGCGCTGAATACATAAACAATGTGATTGTTGCTGGCTTCAAGTTGGCGGACAATTTCAAGCTTTCTCAACAAGTGCCTAAATATGGATTCTGTCACTCACCTGTTCACCTTCACTAAGTGAAATGTTGTGACATTTGCCCGTCCTGCAGGATTTTACTTCACTCAATCATTCCTCACCGGTCAATTGCAGAACTATGCTCGCAAGCTTAAACTGCCCATTGATACGTATCTGGGCTTAGTCTTAGTTTAATTTCAGCGTCATTCGGTCTCATCGGATCGGGAGGGCAAGGTCTTATAGGCTCATGCCAAACTCATGCAGCCAAGGCTCATTTGGGTTTTCAAGGTGCTCAAGGCTTCTGCTGAGCTTGCCAGACCTGCAACCGGCTGCCTTGCTTATGGTGTCTTCATGGACGGAGCACGCAGCTTGTTTGCATGGATATCTTAACCGCTTAACCAATGCACACAGAAACATGACATGTCTTCTCACCTTTAAAATCAATAAAACAATGAAGTGCTTTTGAGGTTGGGATGATGCGGAGGGTGTCATTGCTGAAAGCCTCCCAAAAGTCTTATTCAGCGCCACAGCTGCATTGCGGCCGTGTTGGACAGAACACGTAGTTCTCGGTAAATCTTCCATAAATCCTCCATAAATCTTCCATAACTATGTTCTGCAAATAGCTTGCTCTTGGGCTACCATTTTGCTAGAAATTTGGCATACTCTGATCCTGAACATAACTGACAATCCTGATATTGCCGACAATAGAACCTTTTGTTGGGGAAGACCAGTTACAGGAAGGCTTGGAGGACCGACACAAATGCACCTACCGAAAGTATCCCAAAGCCATGTTGAAGGCTGTTCTGATCAGAAGCCAATCAGTGAGCTGATCCAAATTGTTTGTATATGCATATTTAAGGGCTGCCGCCCCTGCCGCCGACCCCGGAAGAATTGGCAAGCCGTCAGAACGTATATATGGTACAGGCCTGCACCCCCCCCCCCAAAAAAAATGGGGAAAGGATGTTTCTGGGACAGTTTTACACGCATTGTTGCCTGTTATGGTTTTTATGTTAAAGGGGAACGTGCGTTCTGTTAACTTTCGTAATTCCTTGCTGCTAAGGTATTAGGGTTGTATATAAGCCATGCGGGTATGGCAGAAGGGCTTGTGAGGAAAGATATGAACGCTACTCTGATTTGAAGGAATTGAAATAAAACCGGGACCACGTGCATGAGCATGTGCTTCGAAAATCAGCATGGTGGCCCAAAGTGAAGATGCAAACATATAATCGGAGACAGCTTGAGAAAGGTTTGCAACACTGTGATACACATCTGGACAAACTGAGCAAAGAATATATATATATATCAATACATTTTGGCAACAAAACTGCTTAAATCATTTGCCAATGCAGCTGCCTTCAAATGGCTGATGAACTTGAAATAAGCTTTAGGATATTTGCAAACCAACAGTTTTAGCTTGACATCCAGTTCCACTGGGTTTTAGGCAATTTGTGTTGAATCATGTAATTGCACCCATCCACATGGTTCAATTTGTGAAGATTTTGGGTGACAAAACTAGTAGATGGTGTCAGTGTCGGCCAAAATAAAGTCGTCGCAGAAGACCACAGGAGTCACAAAGAACCGAATGCAGGCACCTAAAGAAATTATCCAAAACAAATATTTCCAATATTTTCCAACAGCTTACTGGACTTGTTCCATGACCATGGTGAGCTGCCGGCAAGAAGGCCATTGAGAAGTAATTTACATGCTTCAATGATCTTCAGTGTTTGTTTCGCTTTTGTTTGTCAAATCTTGTTTCATTATGTCAGTTTTGTTTTAACTGTTTTTTGTTTTTTGATGTAAATCGACGTTTACTTTCTTATTGTTTGCAGCCAGAAGGCTGCATTTTTTTGTTTCAGCAAAGGCCCGCCGCAGGCGGCATTTTTGAGTTGTGGGAAAAGTCAAATTTCCTTACATTCTAGGCCAGCCCCTCAGCTAGGAAATAAGGAAAATAGAAAAACAAATAATGAGAAACACATACAAATAAAACATGGCAAAAAAAAACATGAGAACCATGCATTTGGTAACAAAACGAAAAAACAATATAGAAACGTAAAGGAAACCGAGGTACATAGAAACAACCAATGAACGAAAAAAAGGAAAAAACAATAGCAACAAAAGAAAAAAACACAAATAGGAGTAAAAAAACAAAAAGCCGAAAAAAAAAACAACGGAAACAAATAAATGGAACAAAAAATGAAAAGAAAAAGAAAAAAAGGAACGAACAAAAAAGAAACAACAGGAAACAAAAACAGGAAAAGAAAAAAACAACGAAAAAAAACATACGAAAAAAATAGATGAAAAAAAGGAAAAAACACGAAAAAAAACAACATAACAAACGAAATGAAAGCAAAGAAAAAAACAACGAAAAAGAAAAAAAAATCAACGAACAAAAAAAAACATGGAGAAAAAAAAAATCGGAAAAAAAAGAAAAAAACAACGCGGAAAAAAAAAAGAAATCAAAAAAAAACATGAAAAAAATCGAAAAAAACGAAAAACATCGAGAAAACAATCGAAAAAAAAAAACGCGAAAAACAAAAAAACCGAAGAAAATCGAGAAAAACAAATCGAAAAAAAAAAAAAAAACGCGAAAAAAAGAAAAAAACGAAAAAAACCGAGAAAAAAAATCGAAAAAACAAACAAAAAAAATCGAAAAAAAAAAAACCCGAAAAAAAAAGGGCGGAAAAAAAAAACGAAAAAAAATCTTACTTCAGGCAAAAATACCTTAAATTCAGCCCTAGGGTTGAATTTAAGGATGCTGTGATGACTTTGGCATAGTGAATTGCAAACAAAAAGCCCAAAACAATGAAAAAATATCAAAATTACTATGCCAAAAAAAGAAATTTGGCCTACAAAATCCATTCCAAAACCAATATTTCTCATATTTTGGAGAAAAAATATAGGCCAAAGTCATCACAGCATCCTTAAATTCAACCCTAGGGCTGAATTTAAGGTATTTTTGCCTGAAATAAGGTTTTTTTTTATGTTTTTTTTTGTTTTTTTTCGTTTTTTTTTTGTTCGCCTTTTTTTTTGGTCGTTTTTTTTGTTTTTCAATTTTTTTCTCGATTTTTTCGTTTTTTTTTTTCGTTTTTTTTTTTCGATTTTTTCTTTTTTTTTACCGTTTTTTTTTCCGTTTTTTTTTCCGTTTTTTTTCTCGATGTTTTTTCCGTTTTTTTTCCCGATTTTGTTTTCCGTTTTTTCTTCTTTTTTTTCGCGTTGTTTTTTTTTCTTTCCGTTTTTTTCTTTTTTTCGTTTTTTTTTGTATTTTTTTTTCTGTTGTTTTTGTTTTCTTTATATTTTGGATTTTCTTTACCTTTCCATTTTTTGTTTCTTTCTTGTTTTTTTTTGGAAATGGTTCTAATGTATTTTTTTTTTGCTTGTGTGTTTTTTCATTATATATTTGTTATTGTATTTTCCTTATTTCCTTAATCTTACTGGCCGGCGTTGAATTCAAAGAATTTTGACTTTTCCCACAATTATATGTTGCAGGAAAAACATATTTAAAAAGTTTATTTCAGTGTTTTTATTTGGAAAATTCCTTGTGTAAAAAATCAAAAACGGTGGATTTTGCAAAAAGATCAAATTTCATTTTTTTTTTAAAAAAGAAACATGGGAAAAAGCCGAATTTCCTTAAATTCAAGGCCAGCCTTTGAATTTAAGGATTTTGCGGAGACAAAAAAAACACACAGAAAACATAAACAAGAGAAAAACATAGAATGAAAACGCAAAAAGGAAATAAATGAAAAACTGAACAGAATTTAAAAAAGAAAACTAGAAGAATTGAAAACAAGGAAAACGCAATACATCTATTTATTGTTTGTTTTTTCATTGCTTTCAGATTGATGGAATTAATGCTTCCTGGGCGACGATCCTATGCTCAAAAATGTCGCCTGCGGCGGGCCTTTGTTAAAGACTACCTTTTGTGAGCAGCCGGCAAGGCACAGGATTCTGGCTGCAAAAAAAGAAAGTAAAACTGTACTGAAATAAAATAGAAGAAACAAATGAAAAAAATTAACTGAACTCTTGGCCGCGTCCCGAAATTAATTGCGCAACCCTGTCTTCGCAACCCTCTCTTCAGCCAAGAATCCCCTACATTTGATCTTATGAATTTTGCATACTGCATGCACCTTATTTCGGGGGCAAACCTTAAAGACAACCCCGCCACCTTCCACAACTAGATTTTCACAGCTGTCCAATTTTAATTCAATGATTGATTTTTTAGTGGGAAAAATCATACAAATTGATGGTTTGTTTTTGTAAGATCGACTTGGCCTCTCACATTTTTGTGCTGTGGGGCACCGTGCACATAATAAGATTTGTGGGACTTCAACTGGATGAGAATCAACAAATGCGAGACACGCCCAGGGCCTACAGGAACAAAAAACAAGCTGAGAGACAGCGTCTTACTGAACATGGGAATAAATCAATACAACGATCAGACCATAAGTTCTACATGGGCAAGCTGGCAAGCATTGCCCAGTGGGGTTAATTGTGATCTTTATCTCGTGTTCAACTTCGTTATCAAGGTCGGTGTAGCCCCCATACCAATTTCAATGACCGTCAACACTACCTAGCCTTATGCACAACCCCCCGACCTTAAATACAAGCACCCCCCATGAATTACGAAAGTTAACAGTGCGTTCCTTGGTGTTGATGTTTTTTGTGATGTATGTTGTAAGACATTTTGGGTAAAAACGTTCCATCCTAACCTCGTTGATTATTTTAGGGGAGTATCATTGATTGGGTCAGGATTTGTTGAGGTTTTTAGGGTTTTAAAGTTTTCATTTATTCAACTAAGATTTGAAAAGAAGGGAATGTATCATTAAGATTGTCTATTATTTTTTGATGACTTAACGGTTCTTTCACTTCTTCATTGTTTGATTGTTTTTGTGTTTTTCCATTATCTTTTTGTTTTTGACCGGAATTGTTGGTTTGTGCTCATGGTTTTTTCTTTCCATTTCTTTTTAGGATGGTGTGTCTGACCACCCTTGCGTGAGTCGTAGGCTTCGCAAGGAAAAAGGCACATCGTAATAATTGGGTTTGTGAAATGGAAAGAAAAAAACATGGGCCGGCATTGCACGGCGGGCCGGGCACGGGCAAATCGTACGTGCTGAACATATTGCGGCGGGACTTGTTCGAAAAATGTCTGGGCTGGACGCCAGGCAAAGAATTTCAAGTTGTTGCATTCCAAGCTGTAAATGCTGAACCCTTGGATGGTGAGACGATCCACAAAGCTCTCGGGCTGTCGTGGCACGGCAACGATCACAATGTTGCTGGGCAACGGATTCTGGACCTGGCACGGCAAGCCGTTCAGTGGCGCTGGCTTCTTCTTGACGAAATCAGCATGGTAAGTGCGGAGATGTTAGCGCGTCTCGAAGCCCGCTGTCGGCAACTTGTCTTAGATATATCTGCCACAAAATATGGCAAACGTACCCCTACCTCCGTTGCGCCTTTCGGGGGCCTCAACGTCATTCTTTCGGGCGACCTATGGCAGCTACCTCCACCACGTGGAACATTTCTCGGTCAAATTCCTTGGCACCTGGTGACAGGCGTTCCATCCAAGAAGTTGCCACTAAGCTTGCAGGGCCAGCAGATTGT